ATATGTGATTTTCTTGGACATTTTTGACATTTTTTTACTCCTTCAAGACCTATACTACCAATTCTTAACTATTTTGACTTTGATTATAATTCAATAGACTTCTAATACAATTCAACTAGGACTTGATTTTGTCTTAGAAAATTGCCAATTACAATTTGATCTTAACAATTTTCTCCTTTGACATTCTGTGACAAAATCATTAATTTCAAAGTCAAAAGTCCACTACAATCTATCTAATAGACGCTTTCCAGACTACACTTCAGCAACTTGTCAACCTATTTCCTAAAACACATGGAAACCAAAATACCATGTGAAACGCAAGAGGAAATTACCAAAATCAAAATCATATAACTAAATTAAATAAAACAACATAATAAAATGTGTAATACCGAATCACGTAATATCACGTGAATTATAAACTTAAAAATAAGCCATATAATTTATATTAATATAGACAAAACACAATACTATATCAATAATGAAATTCCAATAAATATATCAAATGACTCCCCCTAAGTCAACTATCAATCAAACATTTCAAATTTTTAAAATTCTCCCCCTAACGCATATAATCATCTATCTGAAATAAATACATATATCTCCCCCTTTTTGTCACGAATAACGAGGAAAGACAAATAATAATCATATAAAATACATAGAGAAATGAGTAAAAAAAATATGCACATATATAATGGCAAAATTATTATGCAAAAACATTTGGTAGGAGGATAAAAAATTTTCAATTTTGAGATCAACTGTTTTTTTTTTTTCATGGATTTTCATCTTGAATAGTTATTTACTTACTTATACATGTATAGTTCATAAAAAAAAATCTTTTTCCACAAATTATTTTAAACCAAAATGGAGTAAATTGTATAAGTTACATATGTGCGATAAGTGCTATTAAACTCCTGTAAGCAAATCTCGAAATCTTAAATCACTGAGAAAAGACAAACAAAAATCATTGGTGAATGAATATATCCTTCAACTTATGAAAACTCAGTGTTATTAGAACCTTTTAAGCTCGTATTGATTTTTCAATGTGTAAATTTTCTTTATCCCCCTATCAATAAGTACATATATTTTTTTTTTTCTCTCATTTTTCTTTTATATCTTATGTACAATCTCTTCACCATGAAATACTTAAAATGACCCATGTAACAAGATTTGGACTGATGACTCCAAGTCAGTTAACCATAAGGCAAAAGGTTATGAGACCCCCTCACGTTTAATTGCTCGAGTCAAATAGGCTCCGAAGAAGAGTATAAAATGAATTTCATTTGTCATATATTTCAAAAGTTTTGAATCTCGGTCATATTTTTCTTTTAAGGGGAATATACTAGAGCTTTAGATCAATCTAGTTGAATGTCTTTCCATATTTAAAGTCAATTCACCACACAAATTATCTCTATCCCAAATCTCAAACATGTGGTCAAAACCTACTCACAAGAGTCTAATGTGTGCATGATACGTGTAATTACCAATGCCAAGTACTCCAAATAAGGTCTAAACATATTAATGAAAATTTAATTTACTGATCATGAACCTTACTAGTAATTGATAACAAAATAACATGTCCAATAAACAATTCCTTTTTTCAATTTTTTTTTTACATTTTTTAAACAATAAATAATCACACAAAAAAAATAAAATAACAACAACAAACAAAAAATATATAGTGCATGCATGAATACATAAATATCATGAATAAAGCAGATGCATGCACTTAAATGCCTAATCAATAAGGCAAAGCGAATCTCTTATCTTAAAGATCAACGCGAGCAATATTGCAACTATAATCATCACTTCGATCTATAAGTTCACTCTTTTTAACCCAAACATTCTTAGATGAAGATATAATTTTAGTCAATTGAGTTATATACTCAGTCAAGTGACTCACTTGATTAGTCACGAATCTAACATGAGCAGTTCGCTCTTGTTTGTTGATCCTAATTAAGTACTTACGACACTTAGGTCTAATGTGACCTAACTCACCACAATTATGACAAGTGGAAACAAATTTGGGAGCAAACATGGATTTCAAATTTTGAACCTTAGGTAGAAGAAACTTATGATGTACATATGATTTCGGTCTTCAGGACACCTACATTCTTGGTCTTGTTCATACTTAAGAGCTCGTGACACTTAGGTCTTATGTGCCCTAACTTACCACAGTGGTGACATGTGGGGATAACCCTAGGAGCAACTCTAGGTTTCAAGTTTTGTATCTTAGGCTTGATCAAGGCAGGTACAAACTTATTTTTAGTAGAGGAAATGGTATAATAATTTGTTTCATTATGTCTTAAATCTCATCTTGTCCCATCTTTTTTGTTCAGACATATCGTGTTATCAATCTTCTTAGATCCAAAATAGTTAGCATTATACAGCCACCAAACTTTAAACATTTCTAATTAGCCACTAAAATTATTACATCGTTAGATCATACTTCACTCCGTCATTAACCGTTAAAAAATAGACAAAATAGATTGACATTGATAACATATATTCACACGTGAGACATTTGACCATTAGTTTTCACCTGCTACGAAAGTTCACTACCTGTTCATAAACGTTATGCAAAATGCAATGCTAAATGAAAAACATTGTGGAAACGTACAATGGCTAATGGGGTACTAATCTAATAGTTTTACTCTATTATATTTTATCTAGTGTTTTCAATGTAATTAAATGAGATAATGGTAACATAATTGTGAAAAGTAATGAATTTCTAATAATTTTGACAAATTTAATTACCAATCCAATTTTTGTAGTACACTACGATAAGGTCAATATAAGAATCTTGATTTGAGTTGAGATGATTTGTAATCACGAGATGAGTTGTTAAAAAAATAAAAAATAATGAAACTTCAAAACAATGAAATTTATTTGGTAGAGATTAAAATTAAGATTTTAATTTAATTCAAAGTCAACAATTGAATTTAACCACATATTTTATGAACTTCACAACTTTTCAAACACATATTTCATCAAATTTTATCAAAATCTATTAAAAATCTGATTTTAATCCCCATCAAACATGGGCT